GCTTCTGTCGGGGGTTTTCTGAATCACAGATGCAAACTCCAAGTACTACATCTAACGCTAATCTGTCAGGTTTCACACAGGAAGAAAAAAGCAACAAATGACGACAGCAGAGTTTTTGACATGCACTTTCTGCTGAGCATGCAGAGAATAATGAGGCAGAACTGRGAGGCAGAAAAAAAGGTGCTAAGTCACTGGGTCTACTTCTTCCCAAACAACCCCACATCTGCGGAGCTTGGCACTCACCACTACAGAGCGCAAGCCTCAAACACAACATTACACAGTTACTCCAACTTCTGCATGAAGTTATTTCTGGAACAGCCTACATTAACATGGTTTGAAATCACAAGACAATTATAGTTTTAGATGCTAGAAGCTTCACCATCAAGACAGATGTAACAAACAGAACTGTTGAAATGCATCCTGTCTTGTGATTTTATGATAAATAATCCATCCGTCACCAGCAGTTTAATGTGAGTGTAAGTGACATGACAGCAAACCTTATTCTCAGGRCTCCACATCCCAACATTAAAAGCAGATTTAGGACTGTGGACACCATTAAAGACAACTGTCTTTGTCCTAACTCACAAACACTGAAAAATGACATTCAAGTGTGTAGCCTTTGTAATGTGCACTGAATACTCTCTCTCTAGAAAGTAAATAATGTAACAAGCCAATTATTAATATTTAAAAAAGGAGACAATCGTCTGACAATCTCAAGTAATGGCAGTCTAAGGCCCTGTTTACACGAGACCAGTCTCTGGAAATGCTAATGTTTACTGGGGTGAATACACACAAAAAAAGAAACCCATTCACATGGAACCACTGCAGTGATGTACCAGGGTTGCCAAATGGGACATAGTGAAGTGTTTTACTGTCCCTATAAAAATGATCATATTTTAAGTCAAAACAGCAGATATGCTGKATTAATATTAGGGCTGGGTATCATGGCCAATTCTCTAAATCGATTCGATTTCGATTCATAAAGTTCTGAATCGATTACTCACAATTCAATGAAAATGTTTATTGATATCGATGTTGTATTTTGCAACGGTGCTTATGCAATATCACTATTTTTTTCTCTTCAACATAAACAACAGGTTTTAAGGACAAACTTTTAAATTAAACTGTTTAATCTTGAAAGAAAACTTTCAAGTTTAAAAGGTTTTAAAGTAAAAAGGAATTGCAGGTGACAGTGTTCATGGATGCATTCATTTTTAAGTAATTAATAATTATTTTTGATAAATAAGAAGTGACGGGAATAAGGTTGCATGAGAAGAGGTGGGCTAATATAAAGTATACTTGTGCCCACATCTTTTGAGCGTATGAAAACTGTATATTTGTAATGCTTGTTACCTTCTGTTATGTTCAATAAAAATTATTAAAACTTAATTCATAACTTATTAAAACAATACAACTACAAAATTTCATCACAGTGGATTTCATTAAGACGTTTCTTTAAGTTTAAAAATAATATTGGTAATGGTAAAAAACTAAACAATGTAGTTAGATAGAATGTGGTCTTTAACACATTTAAACATGCCGGTGGAGAACAGATTCAGTCAGATGTTTACATACCGTAGTTTGGTTCGAGCGCCTGAATGAGCCACTTGTCAAAACCTGCTTTGTTTTTGCTACCACGTAGGAGCACAAATCTTTGCAAACAAAAGTCACCATGAGTTGGCTGGTAACATTAGTGATTCCTTAGTTTATTTTGTTTTGATCCAGACAACTTGTAATCGAAAGCTAAGGTTAGCACTGAATGTCAACCGGATGTAAATATATGGCAAGCCAGGAGTGACAAAATACAGAAAAGTGCCTCAGACGCGCAAACAAGACGCCATGGGGAAGAATCGATCTCATGCCCTGTGAATCGATTTTCCCAAATTTAAATGAAATCGATCTAAGATTGATTGAATATACTTTTTTTACCCAGCCCTAATTAATACTGTATATGACTCACTCAGTCATATAAGCTGAGTGAGAGTGTTTTAAGATAAGTTGTGTGTTGTGTTTGGTGAAAATGTGCACTGAAAAAGATGCAACCCTAATGCCGATCTCACTCATGCGCTGATCATGCAGTGGCTGGTGAATAAACTAATGTTCCTTCGGACCTAGGATACTTCTTGTGTTTTGCTTTTACAAGCTGCAAAGGATGAGTAACGGGGGAAAAAACACTCTGCTGTATTTTTAATTTATTGTAATTGTTGTTAGTTTAGAAGAAACTTTTGCCATGTGCGCTTTCATTGCTGCAGGTGCTTCTCACCTACGCCAGGRGTGCTCCTGAAAATCTCCACTCTGAGACCAAGATTCAGGAACAACGGCTGGTGTCATGTACACATTCGGCCGAACCGCAGCAAAAAAACTGTGGTTGTTTCAGTCAAAATTGGCATTGTGTTAAAGGGGCCTAAATGCAGCTTGGTAGCAATGATTGTATGTTTGAAGCTGACAGATGTTTTCTACTCTTTTTTTTAAATCAAGAAACAAAAGTATCTTATTTCCATTTTTATACACTACCAAAGTTCAAGGACACAAAACGTGCATTATATTAAATGCATGTCAGTAAATCCCTTACACAACTCAATGCATATGTCCAAATAAGGACTTATCACCAAAAATAAATAATAAAAAAAAAAGCATTTCCATACTGAACATAATTTTTGTGCATGTTCTACCCCTGGTACTTTTCAGCAACAATGATAAATGATATGTATACGTTACTACATTAGTAACAGAGTTAGTAACATATACGTATCATTTTCAACAAGGAACAATTGGGAATTTAACAAACCAACAAGCACAGAGCCAGCAGGTTAATTTGACATATGAGTCGATGTTAGGAAGAATCTGACCTAATAAATTTTAAAAAGTACCAAATATCTCCTACATGGTTTCAAGTATGATAAAAAAACTGCAGAAAATAGCATTTCCCACACTCAACATCTGAACCAAATCACTAGAAGACAACTTTAATTTAAAAAAAAAAACATGTATTCTGCTCCCTAATTGCCCTCATATTACCTTTTGATCTTACCAGCATCAATTGGACACATTGCAACCTTTTTCCATCTTGAGGTATTATGTTTTGTCATTCAAACATATTGCAAAATAAAAAACTAAAGTACTTTTATAAGTAGTTTCTCAACAATATTAAGAGCAGGCTGGTGTTCTTAGATATTTATATACTACAGTAAGATAATAAAATTTTAAGTAATCTAACATTAACAATCTAATAAAAGCAAATATTTTAGCTCCTTTCTTCCACTACTCGTATTTTGCACAATCACTCCCTTTTTGCACATTATTTTGAATCACTACATTTATTTTTACAGGAACATGACGTTACTATGAGAAAACTCTGACTCTATAAGATCCTTTTATAAGAAGTTACCTCATGAAATGAATTACGATCTTGCAAAACCATACGCATGTGGATTGAGGTTCTGTCACTTTTACAAGCATGTAGGAATGACATGAARAACAATATGTTTTAATGACCAAATGCTGTGGATTTAACAGCTTGATGCAGCCATTAATATCCTGTATATCAAGAACAAAACTGTTTACTATCATATTATAGCAGATAATGTGTCTAGACTGCTCAAAAATTCTTCCTAGACTTTTCTTAGCCCAAAATGTGCAAATTATTATTCTCTTTTCTTTACATTTTTTATATTTCCTTTCCAATTTATTTTACTTTTTGCACTTTAGCACTAAGTTGATACATTAACTTGCCAAGTAACCATGATGAACATGTGTGATATTAATGTTTACAGGTTTTGCCATCACAGAGCTTTAATGCAGGGGAATCTGCACAGTTTGGTCACAGTTAGGAACACATTTACTCTAAAAAATTTCCCATTTAAAATCAATGTTGCACCCCCACCTCCTCCACACTAACTTATCCAGSGGCCGTTTTTTTCTTGTAAGTGAATTTTGCCATTGCCTGAGCAGCTATTATAATTATCAAAACCTATGCAAAATACTATTATGAAAGCTCCACGTTTATTACTTAAGCTGTGTCAGCTTAGAAAGCTCTCTTACTGCACACAGAATAAAGGTCTCCTGAGAGTGTGATTCATAAGAACAGAAATCCCTTTCATTGACGGCAAAAACTCTCACTGATTCTGAGAACCTGCTAGTGCTCAAGGACAAACTGTAAAAGATTATTTCAAAAACATACTTTGAGGTATTCAAAACTCAAGCAACTTATATTTATAGAGGATTTAGCTAGTCTTCAGCATCCATAACATCAAAAGAAGTCAGACTATTTAAATTGTTTTCTCAAAAATGTTTTTTACATCACATTAGCAAAACATTCTCTGTGCTACAACGCATGCACTCCTGATCACAGCAAATGCCTTTGTTTAAATAACCCAAAAATAAATGTATCAAGTGTTTTGCCATCATGAGTCAACAGGCTCTTTCACAAACCACCTTAAGCAAGGACTTAGGATGCCTTCCGGATGTGGACCAGAAGGCAGCAGCACCATTTGTGCTGCGAAGCGAGGTAGTAACAGAGCTGAAAAAGTCTACATAAAAATGTAAGCTKGTTTTTCAACTCAATTATGTGACGAAATGATGACAAATGATCCGTGCAACCCCGTCGTCCGCAAACAACAGATTTATTAACGAGGAGTGATCAATGATGACATTCAGCAAATTTGTATACAGTTTAAAACATTAGGTAACCACAAAGATAATCTCTGAACTGAGTTAACTCCTCGTTTTGAAAACAATATGAGGCAGACATCATACATTTAATTGTCTGCACTCCATGTCAGTGCAGCTGAGTTTTGCTCCATGCCTCCGTGGGTTTCATGATGTTGGCTTTGTTTCTAAAAACTTGCATTTATCCATCAGTGTTTTATGAATGGCCAGAGGCAACGTAAAGATGGACTCGTCTTTGTGGCCATTTTGCAAAAGAGCCTAATGAGACCACAGTGCCACTAMAGTACAGGCGCTGCCATCTCCCCCACCCCACCTGTTTCTCCTATACTCACCAAACGGACACAACAAGCTTTGCTGTGGCTTGTTACAGTAGTTCCCCTGCAAAGAGACAGTCCCTGATTAGTCAAACTGGGGAAATAGACAGATACGCTTTCAAATAAAACATGCATCTGTGCAAATGTTTCGGTAATGTTAGGCAACAAGCCAGATAAATTAAATATCACAAGCTTTTCTGAAATGTGTCTACATCACACTCAGCAAAGACATGAGTTGGAACGTACTGGACTACTTCACTGACATATTCCACTCAATAGACTGGGGGCAGGTCAGATGAGGAGAGCTAGACAGTATATTGCTGGGTGAATAAAAAATGAAAGTCTGGAGCTTCAGTAAACTCGCTCTCTGCCATCCCGTGAGGAGGGTGGGTGGTGGAGGTGCGGGGTGTGTGTTACGGTGGGGTAGAGACTTGTTTGAAAACTGAACCAGTGCTGCATTCCCACATCCACCCGTATCTAGCGAGGGGCTCTTTAAAAATTCATTAATTTACAGCAAAAATAGATTAAAGTACCCAGCTGAGCAAAACTYAAAATTTGGCTCCAGAATAACATTAATGATAAAACATCTCGCTCAAGCCCAGGAGGGTTTTGCCTGGAGAAACAGTTCTGGCTTTTTCCACCTTACAGCATCTTGAGAATAATTTGCTTTCAATCATAACTAAAATAATGCATTTCTAATTGTCATTTTTAATTACACTTTTCTTCAGATGGAGGGAAAAAAAAGAGCTAAACGAAACCCTGCAAAAACTAATTAAAATCCATCCAAGGATATGCCATTCCCATGATGCCATGCCAATGCCATTCTATTCACCATTTGATACTGCAGCTACAGAGACTCAATGACAGCTGCTCCAGGCCCTCAACGAAAAAGAAAAAATCTAAAACTGCAGTTACAGTAATTGCTCTGGCCAGCACTAAATGAGGTTCACTTAAGTGCAATTATCCCCCTCTGATCTCTCAGATAAAGAGACTTCTTTAACATGGAGAAGTGGGCTCACACAATGTGACTGCAAACAAGATTCAAATTGGAATCAGGGAGGCATTTCCAGCAGATGAATTGGCTTCATAGCTCATCTGCATTCTAGTGATGCAAAGTGTTACTAATGAAGACTGAGCCATTCCCTTCTCACCAAAACAGCTTCTAGGAGACCCACACTTCTTCCTGGATAGTATAAGAGAGCGCAGAATATTTTAACCAGATCTTACAGTTATTTAGTGTGAGACGCATTATATAACGCCTTATAAACCAATGGAGAACATCCTTTTTATATGGAAATCCAACCGGTGAAGGAAAATAATAAGAAAAAAAAAGAGGTTATCATTCCAGAGCAGCAAGAGATTGAAAGAACTCTAGATTCAGACAAATAAGTCTTTGAAAAAAAAATTAGACAAAGACCTTTGACCAACAGTATCAGAAGTCCTTATGAATAAATTGCCATCTGCCAATCGGGCCACACAATAGGTTTTCAGCCTCAGGGGTAAGATGTGAGAGTCTAATAGAGGTTGCCAGTTGGGTGCCGTCCAACAACACAGCGTGGATGTGAGGGGGGGCTTTGATGGCCGTTTTTGTTGCCACAGGCTGAAGGACCACCAGGAGTCTGATAACTACACCTCACGGATGGCCATTTGAATAATCACTTCAACAAGGGGGGAAATTAAAAACCCTCTCTGTAAGACCTGCTATGCACAGGACCACATACAGAATTCCAAATGAGAAGACTGTAATAAAACAACAAAAAAATATCTAAATTCATTTTACAATTCCTGAACCTTAACACATATTTCAACTGCTAATCAATTATACATCTTAGCCCCACAAGCCAAGGGTTATCTGTAATACAATGACATGTCAATATTTTTATTAGTCATTGTCTTGTAGAGATAATAAAAATGAAATTTAAGCTCCATTAGTTGCGACCACATAACCCCAATATCAATCATCAACAATTTACGCCGAAATTCAATTTTGATTTAAAGTTTTGCCCCTAACCAGAAAAAACAGCTTGCCTAGTCTAAGGCTACGTTCACACTGCAGGCAAATCCGACCCAAATCCGATTTTTTTGACCCATYTGACTCATATCCGATTTTTTTATGACAGTCTGAACAAGACAAATCAGATTTTTTCAAATCAGACCCAGGCTGTTTCAGTATGTGGTTTTAAATTGGATATATATTTGATGTTTTCAAAGTGACTGCAGTGTGAACACTCATGTCACATTCATCTGACTTTTTCATAAGTGAAGAGGGGGTGAAGGATCGATAAGACACTAACCTGAAGTCACACTGTTTAAATCTGTAGCTCCATGTGTTTACAGCTCCAAAACACAAGTCCAGTTGCTTCGTCTTTTTACTTTTCATTTTCCACGTAGATAGTRTGATAATAATGATGTCCAGCCTGGGTCGCGGAGAGTATCGATCCTAAAGTTAGCTACTCGGTCGATACTTTTTTCCAGCTCGTAGTTTCGTTCAAAAAAAAAAAAAAACTGGAGCATCCCGGTCAGAGGCAGGTTCAGATATGAACACTGAACTAAAGAAGCAGGTCAGATAATTATTTAATCGGTTCTGATTAAACAACAACTTCCGATTCGATGTGCAAAATGTAGCATCCATGCTAACTCTGTAAACAAACAAGCCGGCTGATGAGACGTCACGTCTTTTACTGCGCATGCGTGTCACATCAGTGCTGTGTAGCGTTCACACAGGAGTCTGATGCAGGTCACATTTAAAATGTAATGTGAACGTTCACACAAAAAGATCAGATTTTTTCAAAAAAAAA